GCGCCCGGCGGGGAGGATGCGCCCGTACGCAGCCCCGCGTACAGCGTGAGCACCATCGAGCCGCGGGAGGAGCTGCTTTCCCCGGTGCAAGACGCCGATCGCTTTTACAGGGGCATTTTGGAGCCCGACAAACACTCCTCCTCCTCCACGCTGGGCACACCCGGCTCCACCCTCCCCGACTACCCCAAACTCCCCGCCGCCTACACCTACTCCCCCAACTATGACCTTAGGCGTGCCCACCAGTACTTGCACCCGGGGGCGGGGGACGGCAGGCTCCGGGAGACGGTGCTCTACAGCCCCCCGAGTACTGTCTATGTAGAGCCCAACAGGAACGAGTACCTGGAGCTAAAAGCAAAACTAAACGCAGAGCCGGACTACCTCGAAGTGCTGGAAAAACAGACCACATTCAGCCAGTTCTGAGAAACAGCCCCCCTCCCCGCCCCCCACGCCAACCACAGCAGCTCCTTCTCTAGAGTATTTGTATTCCCTTTAATTCATTTTATTGTAGGGTGAAGTGCCTTGGCACAGGATTTTTCAGCTTCGGGGAATGATTCTGAAAGGGTGTGCTGTTTATTTTATTTTATTTTCAGGTTTTTTTTTCTTCTTTTATTTTCTTTTACTGTGTTTGGAAGTAGGAAACCACCTAGTGTGTAAATTGGGCACAACACTGGCATTGTGCCTGTGTCCATAGGTGCTTGGGGAAGGTGGCAGGAGGGTCTTGTCAGGTCATATTCAGGTTACAAGTACAAAAGTCATGGTCACTTTTTGTTTGTACAAACATTGTTTAATTTTGTTTTCTTTGTGGTTGAAGAGTACAGCGCACATTTTCCCCTTTTAGCCATGGGTGAGTCTAAATGGCTTTTATGGAGAGATTAGCACACCCCGACTTTAATACAAGTTTTCCTTTTTTTAAGGATGTGTTTGTATGCTTTCTGGACTTTTGAATTAAAAAATATATTACGATCTTTAAAAGGATCACTGTAGATGTGGACAAATCATTAAAGAGTGCAGAGATATATGATCCATAACTGGTTAGTGAAAATAACTTATTGATGAAATATAAAAAAAAATATTTTATTGTAGCACCTATTTTTATATGCACATTAGCATTTCTCTTTCCTTCACTATTTTAGGGCCTAATCCTGCAAATTCTTACTCTCTTGGGTATCTCTACTTGTGAAAGTCCCAGCTTAGGCCTTCATCCTGCAGGCACTTGAGCACATGAACAACTTTACCAATGTGTGTAGTCCCATAGACTCACTCACTGAGCAAAGTTAGTCAAATGCCCAAAAGATTAGGATAAAGGATGCAGAACTATTCTTACAAGTTAAACTACTGGGATGTTTAAGTGTTTTTTTCTTTTTTCAGGATGGGGTCCAAAGTCTGCGGATTGCTTTAAAGTGTTGCACTACATTGAGAGCTTTTTTTCCAAAGCTGATGTAGTATCAGGAGGACCTTTTAAATCACTACAGATAATGAAAGTTACGACCAAATCTTAACAGACAATCTAAGACATATAATTTGATCACAATAGGAAAAAATCATGTTCCTCTATTTAAAAATGTACCTTTCAGCAACCTCCTGCTCAGACATCTGAACTAGTAAGGGACATGTAGAAGGCATTCATTTTAGCATGAAAAAAAAAGTTCATTTTTCATTTGTCAGTTTTCTTTTTTTTCCTCTTTTTTTATTTTTCATTAGTTAACCAAAATATAATGATTTTACAACTGTTGTAGCCAGTTTCTGATTGTTTAGTCAAGTACGATTGCACTTGTACAGATCCATGTGTTTACTGGCAACCTGAAAGACCAAATGATGGACTGTACACATCTATATACAATGTCTTTACCCCTTTGGGCAGCAGGCAATGTCAAGGATATTCATAAACACAGCATCACTGTAAGATGGGACAACTGATGTCTCATATGTATCCCAGCACATGTGATTTTTTAATAGTTTCTGAATAAACACTTGATAAATATTTCAAATGTAAGAACATGAAGTAATGAGTATCTGAAGTTTAAGATTTCGTGCCAAAATCATCTGTTTGTACGTTGGATTCTCTTTACTTGCAATTATGGCTCATCAGAAAGATCTAACATTTTTAGGCAAAACAGAATGTGTTGTCTACTTTCAAAACACAACATACGATAATTACCAGCATATATAACATGGATCAGAGAGTGACACACGGATAAGTGTTTCACCAACATATAGGGTAGTTTTATATTTACATTTTGTTTCCTTGCTAAAGTGTTCTTTAATATATGGAACAGGGTAAGTGATGTTTCACATGTGGTTTTGTCTTTCTGCATTAGGTTATCATGTTTGGTATTGTTTGCAGAGTTGCTCACTAGTACATCTTTTATTGCAAAAGGGCTCTGTTCTGCTCTGCTTTTCCTACCCATGTACAATCTGTCACTTTCTACAAAAACAAAGCTATATAACTGGTCCTTTGGAATTCAAGATAAATGTTTTGTCGGCATGTGTTCTTCCCTCTATGCCACCCACAGTGAGGGAAAAAAAAAAAGCATGACTGTATTTAGGTTGGACAGTTTAGTAAGTGGAGTGTTATTTCAGTTTGAAATGCAGATATGAGGAGTATTCTTTTGTCACAAGAGACACAACACATGGCTATTCTGTGCTTTGCTCTTGATCTCCTGCAGACTTCCCACTGACACTAGTGAGAGATGTGAGTATTGCTGCCCGAGGTGCAGTTCTGGAGCCCTAATTTTGAATTACCTCCTTTATAACTATTGCTGAAACCAGTGCCCTGGTTCTCCTTCCATTTAAACTCAGTAGAGGCACATTGTTGTTAAATGGATATAAGTAAGAAAATCTTCAGCCTCACTGGCTTTGTCGTTGACTAAGAGAAAGGCTAACTCAGTAAGGATTGAATAAGGTCCTGCAAACAGTATGTGTCCGTTCATGTGTATATATATTTTTTTCTCTGTGATTCTGAACTCATAAACAGGAGTTTGCATAAGTGTCAATACAAATGTAAGATTAGGTCCTTAATGTGAAAGGTACATTTTACATGGCATTCTGCCACAAAGAGGCAGCATCCACAAATGAGTAAATGAGCAGGAATTGCTTGGATTTGTAAGAAATAGCTGATAGAAATGCCTTGGCAGTCTGTTTATACTTACATTCCTATGCTGCCATTTCTGAGGCCGGTAGTACTGCTGCTTCCATGTTTTCTACACACACTTAATAACTGGTAATGAAGAATTTTCCTATGGGTCTACACTAAAATCGGAATAATTAATTTAAATCTCTTCAATTTCTCATCTTCAGTAGAAAAAATATATTAACAGTTCCATTATTGGAGGAAAAAAATCATTTAGCTTCAGAAAGTGCATTCTTGAAGATAAATCCTTGAAAAAGGATACAGAGTGCAAAATAATAATGTTTAGTCCATAATTATCTTGAAACACACCTGAAAGGGCTATTTGTGAATGAGGACTTCAATGGAAGTAAGATTTCCCACTCAATGGCTACAATGATCTCTCATTTGTGGAAAATTATAATAAGAAAAAGGAGATGGGAATGTGACCTGACAAAGGGAGATGTGCTTCTGATTTGAAAACACAGGATAATTTGTTTAAAGAAAAAACATTTGCATAAGAATATGACCTTTGTTTTGTTAGCAAGATCAGTGAAACCTTCTGCATGATGATGTGCTGAGTTAGTGCTGACCAAAGGGGTAAAAGTGTAAGAAGAAGAAGAAAAAAATCCCTATTTTAAGAATTCTGAATATTATTTTAGCTTGTTTTAGGTTGGTTATCAGGCTGGTTTAAGTTGGTTATTAAAGTGATTCCCCTCCCCCCTTTTTTTTTTTTAGTCTTTTGACAAGTAATATTGAACTTACTGAATCACTCATATGGCCTCACATTTTATTTCAAAAGTGCATGAAATTCTGTGATAAAAGAGGAAAAAAGGTGGAAGAGAATCCTAATTTCTCAATGTAACTACTAGAATCAAACCATGCATTGTGATAATATAGAACATTTATTCTTATGAAGTAAAAGAAATATTCTTTGTACTTTATTTTGTTTTTTTCATATTGTGCCAATTTAATGTCCTAAATACTAATGGTGAGTTTAGGGGAGGGGTGAGATAACTTTATTCCTCTCTCTCCTCTTTTTCATTGTTCATTCTTCCTCCTTTTTCTTTTCTTTTCTTTTCTTTTCTTTTCTTTTCTTTTCTTTTCTTTTCTTTTCTTTTCTTTTCTTTTCTTTTCTTTTCACCTTTTGTCCCACTCCAGCATTCATTTTTCACTGTGGCTCCTGCGCTCCCCGGGCGCTGGGGCAGCGGGGCTGCGGTACGGCGTGACGTGCAGCGGGCTATATGCAAATGGGAGCGAGAAACCGGTGTCTGCAGATGGCGGGAGCGGGATAAGCGATTGCGGAACAATTACAACTGTTACATTTTTTGCTTTGTCTGTTACAGCCCATTTTCATCCTTCTTTCTCTGAATTTCTTTTCTTTTCTTTTCTTTTCTTTTCTTTTCTTTTCTCCTCCCCTCCCCTCCCCTCCCTTCTCTTCATCTTTTCTATATTACATACTTTGCTCCCATCTTTGATAAAAAGAGCTGAATTTCAACGCATTAATCCCAGAATATATACCTTGTAATTTCTAGATATTCTTACACACTGCTTGAAACACCAGATGCTATGTCAGTCCTGTCATCAATTAGAAGTCTGACATAAATGCAGATTATGCTTTTACACTTCTAGGGCCCAAATTTTCACACTTTTTTTTAGATTTACCTCTCATTATTTTAATGGTCACTTAACACTGTAAAAACATGTTCAATTGATTCCGTATACTGCAGTATTTACTTTCTGAATGTTTTTCTATGTTTTCATTTTTTACAAAGCATATAGCTAATTGTTAAAGAGTATTCCTTTTAAGAAAACATATTAGATGTGGTGGTACCTTTTCTCATATCACATAATAATTTAATTCTTAAAGTAATATAACAAAATTAATGGTAAAATATCATTAAAAAAAGATCCTCTGACCCATGGAAAACATCATTCAGAAAATATGTCTTAGAAGGCAGGAATAGCTAATCATGGTTGTTGGTAAAATATGAAGGTAACATCCTGGTTCTGTAGGTTGTTTAGACTTTTATTTAGCTGGAGCTAAAATGTCTGACCAGCGTGTTGTGTGTTTCTTACAGAAACTTAAGAGTCTGCTTAATGCATATGGTTCCCTCTCGGGGGGTGAGTCCATTAAGGCACTATATCCTAAAGGACAGGGTAAACAAGAGCTCCTTCATTTTTAGAGGGCAGGTTCTTTATATTGCTCAGTTTCTCCAGGAAGCCTGAATAGCCTTTCATTTGGTTAAAGATTGGCGTACTGAAATGTAGTGTCTCCAAAACAGCCTCTAGAGAAGGGGGCCAAAATCTTTGT